TGGAGACTTTACATCTTTTGTGTTTACCTGGATGGAGTTAAAGGATGTTCTTCTTAGTAAAGTATCTCAAGAATGGAAAAGTAAGCACCCCATGTACTCAGTACTAATTTGAAACTAGCAGATGATCAAATATAGGCCTACATGAGAGAAAAACACAATTAAATTCAAGTAGAAGGAAGGAAGGAGAGGGGAGGGGACTCAGTAAGCTCCCACCTAATGGGTACAACATAGGGGTGTATAGCACAGCTCCTAGGTGAAGGACTCAACTACAACTTGGATGTTACCTAACAAACACAAACAATGTAACCCAATCGTATGTACCCTTACATTAATCTAAAATAAAAAAGGAAAAATAAAGAGAAATAACAATTTATCTCTACTTGCTTTAAGGGAAAAGTGAGAATATAGTAAAAATGAGATGATTCTTTAGAATCTAGACTATTTCTTCTTAAAGTCCATAATAAAACATTTTTATAGTAGTAATCTCTGATTGTATTTTATTTCAGACGTAGGCATCGATCAAGCAGTAGCTCTTCTTATGGCTCTAGAAGAAAACGAAGTCGAAGTCGTTCAAGGGGACGGGGGAAATCTTACAGAGTTCAGAGGTCTAGGTCCAAAAGCAGAACAAGAAGGTATGTCTTATCAGGTATTTATTGCTTTGTAACCAACTGTTCCCAAATTTAGTGACATAAAGCAACAATCATTTGTTTTCTCACAATTCTACGATTTTGACTAAGCTCAGCTGGCAGTTCTGCTCGTCTCACCTGGGGTTACTCATGTGGCTGTGGTCATCTGACAGCAAGACTGGAATTGTGCAGTCTAATGTGGCCTCACTCATGTGTGTGGTATTTAAAGCAGGCTGTGGCATATGTGGTTCCTTATTCTCTAGTAGGCCTGACTGAGCTTTTATATATGGTGGTGGAAGTATTTCAAGAAGGTAAGAGCAGAAGCTGAAAAGTCAAGGTTAAAACTCAGAAATAGCATGGTGCGTTATGGAGTGAATATATGTGTCGTCTTCAAAATTCCTGTGTTGAAGCCCCAACTGGCATGTGGCTGTGTTTGTGGATTGGGCAAATGGAGGTAATTAAGGTTAAATGAAGTCATAATGTGGTCCTAATCTGGTAGGGCTGGTGCCTTTATCTGAAGGGGAAGAGAATTTTTCTGTATTCTTAGAGGCAAGGACGTGTGGACACACAGTGAGTCCTCACCAGGAACCAAACTGACTGGCCCCTTGATCTTTCACTTCTAGTCTGCAAACGACAAGAAAAGGAATTTCTGTTGTTGAAGCTGCCAGTGTATGATATGGTGTTTCTTATGGCAGCCTGGGCACACTGATGCACAGTGTTACTCCATCTGCATTTTCTAGCCTTGCTCAAGGGCCAGTACAGAGAACAACTTACCTGGAGAAAGTTGTCCATTCTGGACAGTGCTAGAAAGTACAATTTAATAGGATGGGTACCTTGTTATTGAGGGACTTGAGTACATTTAGAAATTATTGAAAGTTTTTGACCAGGAGAGTGTTAGGATAAAAAGGATACACACAGTATTTTAGGAGGACTCATTTCTTTTCTCTGCCTCTCTTAGGTTCTAATTGGGGAGCAGGTTGGTAACCTAATTTTAGGCATAATTTAGGCATAAAATTTAGGCATAATTTAGGCATAAAATTTTTAGTTCTTTCGATGAACCTGGAGTTGGAGAATCACAGTGAAGTCGTAATGTTTAGCTTTTCTGACCATGTATTATTTGGCATCTGTCTTACTTCCTTTTCACACATTCCTGTATAAACCGCTCTGTCCTACACACCTTGGAGTTGCAAGCTTTGTTTCTTTGAGCATGTTCTTTGTTTCACTTTCTTGCCATCATTTCTACTTTGAGAATTCTTCCTTCCCTTTACTTTTAAGTTCAATTTAACTTTTAATTCCCCTCTTCCTTAAATCCATTTTTGATTTTTAGCTTTTCTTCCCCAAGTCAAATACAACCTTTCCTTTTGCTGATATACCATCCCGTGTGGTTCTAGATTTGTAACAGTTATATTACGAATACTTGTTGTTATTCTCATATATTGTAAATTCTTTTTTTTATATATATATATATTTTGTGAATTCTTGTATGGTAATCTCTTGGTAGCTCAGTAAATGTGTTGACTGAGTGAATGATTAACTTGGAGAAATGAAGTTGGATAGAGAGCTGATTTTTGTAGCAAGGAAAAATTTTATTGATTTGCAGAAACAAAGCTTTATTTTAGATGTATTAATTTGCCAAAAAGAGGCTGATTATCAGAAAATAACTTCAATTAAAATTTCGTATAAATGGGAACAGAAATATTAATATTATGCTTTTGAATGGTCTTTTTTAGTTTATAGAGTATTTTCATTTATATCAGCCAATCAGGGTTTGGTTCTGAGAACCAAAGTATATGTATAAAGGGAATTAAAGGCTTATAGTAACTTCTGGAAGGACTCAGGGAAGTGATGATTGGGGAAGCTGTCATTGATTATTTCAGCCTGAAGAATGGAAGTTTGTTGTTTTCTGTGAAGTCAGTGAAAGCCTTAAGAACTCGCAGGTGGTAGCACCAAAGTGGCTGGTTCTTAAGAAACTGGACACTTAGAAGCTGCTTCTTTTCCCTAGTGTCTACCTGTAACTTCCTCCAGAGGGAAATCTGGATATGTGGTTACTTTTTCTGTGCCATGCAAGTAAGGCCTTGGAAGGAGAGGCGGTGATGCCTTGCCCACAATAGATAACCCAGCACAAATGCATTTTGTGACTGAGCTCTGTAACTCTGTAGGCTGACAGGTAGGGTAACACCTTTGTTTTGTATATGAGGAAATAAGTTCAGAAGTCTATCCAAGACATCACCTTCTCATCCTCCTGCCTTGACACTGACCTCTGCATTTAACTTTAATAATTAAATAATCTGGAAATGCTGAAAAGTCTCAAATTTTGAAGAATTGACATTATTCATGTGCTATACACTCTATTATTTTGGAAAATATCTTTTAGAAATTTATTCTTCAAAGTGATTAAATTAAATGATTTTCTAGTTTAATCTTGATTCAACAAGAAAGGTAACTCATTTCTTGAAATGTTTAATCAAGGTATTGGTTTAGACAGAGAAGATGAAAGTAGTTTTTTAAAGAAAAAGTACTGTACGATTTTAAGTCTGAAGATGTATTAATGATCTTTGTGCTATTCAGTAGGAAAAGTGATTTCTGTCTTGGAAAGACAAATGCTCTCAGTAAACTTTCTTGTTTCATGTGTAAAGAGCAGTTTCATGATGAAGCGAGTCTTGGGGGCTGCCAGGATGGGCATCAAGTGTTTGAAGTCCTCTGCAGTTTCCATGGATTGGTTATAGAGTCGACTGGATGACTGTGCTTTTTAATATATACCTTTCAGTGTCCTCCTTCAAGTATTCAAGTTGTGACGTTTCTCTTATTGCTTCCTTCTCCAAACATGAGAAACCAGAATAACACATACCACTGTGAAAACCAAATTAACCTATTAGGAAATCAATATTTGGGTGGCGCCTGTGGCTCCCTGGGTAGGGCACCGGCTACATATACCAAGGGTGTTGAGTTCGAACCTGGCCCGGCCAAACTGCATCAAAAAAATAGCCAGCCGTTCTGGCGGCTATTCCTAGCTGGGGGTAGTCCTAGCTATTCGGGAGGCTGAGGCAAGAGAATCACCTAAGAAATCAATATTTTTAGCAGGAGCAGTGGCTGATGCCTGTAATCCCAGCACTGTGGGAGGCCAAGGCGGGTGGATCCCTTGAGCTCAGGAGTTGGACACCAGCCTGAGAAAGAATGAGACCCCTTTCTCTCTATTAAACAGAAAAACCAGCCAGGCCTGGTAGCGGGCACCTGTAGTCCCAGCTGCTCAGGAGGGTGAGGCAGGAGGATCCCTTCAGCTCAGGAGTTTGAGGTTGCTGTGAGCTATGATGATGCCATGGTACTCTACCCATGCGATAGAGTGAGATTGTCTCAAAAAAAAAAAAAAATGAATCCAGTATTTGTTATAGTTCTTTTTATCTTTGTCTTGAGCATATATAGGTCTGTACCCCAAGTCCTGCTTGACCTTTCGGTATGGTTGGTTTGTTCATTTTGAAAGAGTTAGTTATGTTAGGTTTGTTTCTTTTTATACTTCAAGGTTTTTAATCCCTCTAAACTTTTTTATTTTCTTTCACCCTCTATTAAAAATAAATAGTAGCATGTGAATAAATAAAATAGTATATGAAACATTAATATGGTGCCAAAAGATGCCACGGTACTAAAAGGGGCCTCAGGGAAGTATCACTCCCTTCCCACTTCTATCCTGTGTCAGCCCACCCTTTTAGGGAGCCAGAATTATTAGTGGTTTAATCTTCCCATGTTTCTTTTAAAATACAAGAGTAGTTGTATCTATGGCATACTCTAGATATTCTTTTACACTTTGTTTTGTTTTTGCTTGTAAGTGTATCTTGGAAACTATATGAATATATAGAATTTTTTAAACAGCTGCTTAGTACTCTGTTCTGCGGCTATATCATAGTTTGGTTAGGTACTTTTCTAGATATGAACGTTAAAGATCCAGCTAATATTTTGCAGTTACTAAAAGGTCATCATGAATAACTTCATGTGTGGGTACATTTTACTGTTAGAGGTGTTCCTTCAGAGGAAACTCCAAAAGATTGCTGGATCAAAAGGTACATGTTTGTAGCTTTGTTAGAAATTGCCAAATTCCTGATAGTAATTTGTGAGGTCTGTTTCCTTATAGCACCATCTACAGAAGGTGTCATCACATTTTGAAATGTTTTCTGATCTCGTAGATGAGAAATGGTATTTCAGTGTAGTTTTAATTTAATTTTTTTTTTTATCATTAGCGAGTTTGAACATCTTCCCATATAGTCAAGGATCACTTTTCTCTTTCTTCCCTTTCCTTTCCTTCGTATTAGTAGATGGGGGTCTCACTATGTTGCCTAAGACATCCTGGAAGTCTGGGCTCAAGGGATCTTCTCAATCTGAGTAGCTGGGTCTTCAGGCATGTCACCATGTCCAGCTAGTTTTTTTTCTGTATTTTGTCGCTCCTTTTATAATAGATTAAATTTTTGTAAGTATTTGGTCTTTTTCTTCACTTATATCTCTTTCACTGGCCTGCTTGTTTATTCATGCACTATTACCATACTTAGAATTACAGTATCTTTTGATGTTGGGCAGCGGTGGTCTACCCTTTTTGTTTCCACTTTTTGTTTGGCTGTTCTTTTCATACGAACTGTTTATTTTTTCATGTGAACTTAATTTTATTTGTCTACATTGATTAAAAAAATTTGTTGATGTTCTTATTGGGATTTTAATAAAATTTATAAATTGAAGAGAATATCTTTATCATATTGGGTTCTCTGCAAGATCAAAAGGATGATTTTCCATATTTTTTCCTTTTCTAGCATTTTTTTTCCTTTCCTTTTTTTTTTTGGTGATTCCAGAGTGTTTTAATTTCCTCATATAATGTTTTGCTCATTTCTTGCTCAATTTATGCCATAGTATTTCAGCTTATTAATGCTGTTATAAATGGGGTTTTCTCCATCATTACAATATCTAATTAGTTACGCTTTATATACAAAACCTGTAGAACGATATGTTGATTTTATATCTTCTTACTT